AACATGTGTGAGGCTCTGGGTTCCATCCCCAGCATGAAGGAGGAGGAGAAAAGGGGTGAGAAGAGAAGAGAAAAAGACAAAGAGAAGAAGAAAAATGTCCTGCTATCAAACATGAATGACCCACAGGCAGAGCGAGGTGGAAGCTCTGCTATGACCGTTCTCTGTCGTCATTAATTTGCTGTAAAATAAGCGCTGGCTCTCGAGAGAATGCAGTAAGGTCTGTCTATGGAACAAAGCATATGACATCGGAAAGGAAGGCATTCAGAGAGGACAAAAGGTGTAGCCAATGGAGAGAGGCTGCCACCACTGCTACCGCCAAAGCCTGGATTGATTAAAGGCAGACAACTCTATAGGATGAGTTTTTAGCTTACTTTCCATAACCTAGAGCAAAAGCTTTGGGACAGAAGGAGGCTGGTTGAAAAAGCAGATTCCTGGGCCCAGACACACAGAAGGTCCTTTGAGGAATTCTAGCTGAATGTGAGGATAGATAGCAAATGAGGAAGAGCATTCAGGCTGGAGGAAGAGAAGGAACTGAGTTCCTGGCAACAAAGAGCGTGCTGTCCCTGGGAGAGACAAGGAAACACCCAGATGGGGCCAGGAGGGCTCAGGAGGCTCTGGAGCAGCTTCCTTCCTCTGGCACTGGGTGTGGCAGCCCTCCCTTCCAAGGTGGGACTCTTCAATGCTTGGAGCTGCTGCAAACCCAGAGTCACCCTGTATCCCTGCTTGTAGGGTGGTCTGAGTTCACTCTTCTTGTCCAGCATCCTTTTCAGCTCATGTCCCTTTCCTTCTCAAAAGCACCCTCATCGGATGATACATTGCAGGGTCACCTGACTCAAAGCCCAGTTCAAGGTCTTGAGTATGCTAAGCAAGCACTCGTATCAAATCATGTCCCCAGTCCTGACCTGGCTTTCTGAGTGTTTTTGTTTTGTTTTGTTTTTTTAGCCAAACCAGGGATTGAACTCAAGCCCTTGTGCTTGCCAGGCAAGTGCTTATTCTAGTGAGCCATCTTCCCGGCCCCCTGAGTGGTCTTAATGACTAAATTCAATAGGCTGTGCATGTGATTTAATAAAATATGCTTATACAGTGTCATTAAACAGGATCAGGAAATTGACATGGCCCAATTCTTAGTCACTTCTATTCCACTAGAAACCTACTAAAATGGGGGAAAGAGGGTGTTTTGGAAAAATGCAAATATTATCAAGAAAGGCACTTAGAAGACTGTTAGGTCCAGACCATTGCTCTTAAGTAATTAAAGTCTATAGTGTAAGACAAATGTCTCAATAAACACACTTTCTACTGCCTTTTACATGGAAATTTAAATGCTTATTTACATTTACTTTCAGATTTAAAATTGAACAGATGTCTTGGGGTCCTTGTAAGAATCAAAATGGCTTAAATAAATCCTTCATATCAAAAGATTTTATGCCATAACAAACTTTCTATTTAATTCTATTGCCAATTCAAAATATTGATGTGGTTTTATTTCAGGTTTATGTAAAGCAGTGACTGAAGGGTACTGGTTCCACTTGATACATTTTAAACACTCAGGTTGATTTTTCTACTCTCAACCTCTTTGCAGGAACTAGACAAAAGGGTTTTCTGCGGAACTGAGACTTACTGAATGGGAAGGACTCCTTTAATGATGCATTAAAATCCTTTTAGAAAATTTGATATGCTATCAAAATTACTTCATCAAATCTGAATTATGTTTAAATGGGAAGCTAATGCGACAGCATTTTGTGGCAGTATTTACCTGGATTTCTTTTCATTACTTGAATGCTGCAGGCAGCTTAAATACTAGAACAAATTTGCAAACCAAGCTACTGTCACCAGAGCTGTTTGGTAGGTGGGAGGGTGGGTAAACTGGGGGCCTGTGACAGTTAATGAATATGGTAAAATGCCACATTTAAAGGCATTCACATGAGTGGCCTTTGAGACATTCCTTAAGAAAAATCACAGGATTTTAACAGGGGGGAAAGATAGGTGAGGCAGAAGAAGAGGGAGAATTCTAGGCTTGTAGAAGAATTGGGGTGAAGGAGCATGGGGAGAAAGTGCAGAGGCACACGGGGGATTGGTGGCGGGGCAGTGGCTGAGTGACAGGAAGATGGGGTTCCAGGAAACGCTGGTGTGTCCTCGGACACAGACTTGGTTTGCCTCTTTGTTGAAAATCTCTGGGCAAATAAAGGAGCGACATTAAGACTCTTTGTGAAGAGTTGAAGTGGAATTGGGAAAAGCTGGAAACAGGCCATTTAGGAAGATTTTGCAATAGTTCAAACAAAATTTTTAAAAAGCATTATGGATACAAGCTAGCTTAGCAGCGGTGGGAAAAAGAAAGGCTGAATGCCTTTTGGGGTTTGTTTCATTTTGCAGTGCAGGGGATCAGCCCCAGGGCCCTGAACAAATCTCACCAACTGATTGACTTGAGAGAGCTAGAAGATTAGTATAGCACACTCTCAGGTGTGTCTGCGTCGGCCCTGTGCTGTGACTTGGGGGCTATGTCTGGCCCCTGACCCCTTGCTCCCTGGCTCTTCCTCTGCTCTGCTTCCTGGCTGGGTGAGCCACTTTCTGCCCTCTACCATGATGTTTTTTGTCTTGGACTGAAACTGAGCCAGAATAAACCTTTTCTCCTATGAGTTGCATATGTCAGGCACTGTGTTCCGGCCACAGATAACTGATCAATGCACCGAATTACACCTCCAGCTCTAACCATAGTTGAAATCCCTAGGTCCAGGCACTGCTCACGTGAGAGAATTACTTCTGGGAATCACTGAGTAGCTAGCTCAGGATTGCTTGGAGTCTTTGGGGTTAGACAGCGGGCAGATGGTGAAGCCATAAGAGATGGGCTAAAAGGTCTTCTGTGCAATGGGCTGTGCGTGAGTCTTCTGGGGGCCAGGGGCGGAATGCTACGATTTGTGTCTAGGTGTTCCCCAAAAGCCTCATGCAGTCATCATGATTAGTTCATAATCCTATGCTGGGATTATGGGTGTGAGTGCTACACCCACCCTGGGGCAGATAGCCTGAATGCATTGTAAAGAAAGGAGAGAGGCTTGCTCTCTGCTTGCCCTCTGCGTGCTGCTGCTCCTTTTTTGCTCTTGCTGCTTTGCTGTTTTCCACTGACATGAACAACTGCCCTCTACCATGTGCCACTGCCTTGGAGCCAGCGGATTATGGGCTAAAACCTTCACAAACTGTGAACTAAATAAAACCTTCTTCAATTTCTTTCTTTCTTTTTTTTGGCAGAACCGGGGATTGAACTCAGGCCCTTGTGCTTGCCAGGGAAGCGCTTATTCCACTGAGCCATCTCCCCAGCCCTTTTTCTTTTTCAAAAAATGTATTTAGTACAGGGTCTACAGGGTGCACATGGTCTCACTATGTAGATCAGACTTGTAGTGATCCTCCTGTTTTCAGCCTCCTAAGCATTGGGATTACAAGTGTACACCACCACGTTTAGTCTCAACTACAGTCTCAGTGCGCCCCGGGGGTAGGGCTGGCACGGCTTGTGGTGCTAGGGATCAAGCCTCTGGTCCCTGCGCTCTGCCTAAGCAGGCGCTCCTTTCTTAATTTTGGATACTGGGTATTTTATCCCAGCAATGAAAAGAAAGTAACTGAGACACTATAATGATAAAGAGACCACAAAGGCAGGCTTGAGCTGTGTGAAAATGTACTTCCTCCTGGCTGTTTCCCTGAGTTCAAGGTATCCAGGGAGGACAAGTATAAATTCATCTATATCATCTACAAAATATTTATGATCATGAGTCACCACTTACTGGGTGAATTCGAGAGAGAGAAGAAAGAAGTTGTAGAGAGAGAAGGAAAAGAAGTCCCAGGGTGGGCGTGGAGGGAATCAAGACAGTGGTGATGATAAGGGAATAACCTGGAGCTCCAAGAGGAGGGGCTGAAGGCAGAGGTCTCAGGCATACGGATGCATAGAGGACAAGAGAAAGAGTCAGAAAGGAAACATGGCGAAGAACAGAATAGAGATTGAGTGACGGTGGAGTGCTTAAAAATGTCAAAGGTATCAGAAATTATGAGAGACAACAGCCATAAAAGAAAAAGCCCAGCTCACTCTGTACAAGGAGCTCCAAGCACGTTGGGAGGTGAGTCCTGCTGGTAACTGTGCTGGGAGGCTTACACCTATCACCTGACTTCTCCAGGCAGGCACCGAGAGTAGGGGCTGTGGCCTCACCCCAAGAACTTGGCCTCCTGCCTCCATACAGTGGGGGAGTGGAAGCCAGAGATCAACCTCCGGGAAAGAGAGGAGGGTAGAGACTCACATCTATTCTATAAAACCCAGCTCAGCACTATGTGGGAGTGTGAATCTGTGATGGGGAGCGGGGTAGAAAAGGAGGGTAGAGGCAGGAGGAGCAGGGTGGCAGCTCTTTTGAAGGAACCATGCCCTCTTATTCTGGGTTCTCTTCTGGAACATGAAAATTGTTTCACAAAACAGAAGCCTATGTTCAAGTGGTTGTTTGTTTTGGTTTTTTTTTTGCTTTTCACTTTTGTCTTAGGTTCTGGGGATCGAAGACGGGGTTGCACTCTGACTGAGCTGCATCCCAGCCCTTTTTATTTTGAGGCAGAGTCCTGCTAAGTTGTTCAGGGAGGCCTCACACATGTTACCCTCCTGCCTCAGGCTTCCGATTAGCTGGGGTTAGAGGCATGCTCCCCCATATCCATTTCAAATGATTTTCTTGAAAGAAGAATTTAATCACTCTAACAGAATGAAATGATAGTTGCCTTTCTTTTTTTTTTTTTTTAATTTATCTCTCTGTGTGTGTGTGTGTGTGTGTGTGTGTGTGGCCAGCTCAGCCCACCAGGGGGCGGGGCTGGCTGGCATGTGGTGCTGGGGGATTGAACTGCGGTCCCTGTGCTTTGCTAAGCTTGTTCTAAGTAGGTGCTTTAGACCACTGAGCCATCTCTCCAGCCCCTGCCTTTCTTAATATACATGAAAGATGCTATTTCCCATTTTCAATATTAGAATTCAGTATTAGAATTGTACATACTTTTTTGGAATCCTTGCTTTTTTCTGTGGAGAATATGAGATTTCCTTTCAGAGTGATATTAAGCTCTGGATCATGGGAAACAAAAGGAAAATAGGCCATGAGAACATACAAGCCCACCAAAGAAATAAACACCAAGCACTGGGGTGAGGTCTCACAGTCACAGGGTGTCTCACAATCACAGGGCACTTCCATGAAGGGAAAGAAAGCTACAGCACCCTTCTGAAGGAAAAGACCCTCTCAGGACGCCTCTAGGAGCAATGCAGAGCTGGCTGCTCATGGGTGGCTGTGTGTGTGTGTGTGTGTGTGTGTGTGTGTGTGTGTGTGTGTAACTGGGGCTTGAACTCAGGCCCTTGCGCTTGCCAGGGAAACGCTTATTCTACTGAGCTATCTCCCCAGCCCCTCATGGGTGGATTTTGCACACACCTCCTTGTCCCTATACACTCACTATGGGCTCCACATAGTCCCAAATGGAAGGACAAGGCAGGGAGATTTTCTCCAGCTCTGTACAAAAAACACCCAGGAGAAAAAAGGCCAGAGCTATGCTCACACTTTACCACTAGAGGGGAATCAGCCACTTTGGTTGGTGTGTTTGTGCTTGGTTTTGGAGCGCTGGGTGGGGGGTCAAACTTGGAGCCTCCCACTAGCCAGAGAAGCACTCTACCACTACATCTCATCTGCAGCCCTACTGTGGGAGGTATTATGATCAACGTGGAGGATTCATGTGCTATTGCACCTTCAGCATGGCTTTCCATGGGGAGATTTCTTTCTTTTTTTTTTTTTTTTTTTTTTTTTTGGTGGAACTGGGGATTGAACTCAGGCTATTGCGCTTGCCAGGCAGCGCTTATTCCACTGAACCATCTCCCTGGCCCTATTTATTTCTTTAGAGACAGGTTCTCACTATGTAGCCCAGGCTGGCCTCGAACTCAGAAATCTTCCATCTTTAGCCTCTGAAGTGCTGGGATTGGAAGCACTAGCATGCCATCACACCCCAAAATGGGGAGATTTCAAATGAGCTTTCCATATGAACAATATGTGGGAGCTGGGGATAATAGTGCATGTTTGTAATCCCAGCACTCTGGGAGGCTGAGGCAGGAGATTTTCAAGCTAAAGCCTGGCCTGAATAAATTAGTGAGGTTTTTTTGTTTTGTTTTGTTTTTGTTTTTTTGTTTTTTTTTTTTTTTCAGAACCAGGGGTTGAACTCAGGCCCTTGTGCTTGCCAGGCAAGCACTTATTCTACTGAGCCATCTCCCCGGCCCCAAATTAGTGAGATCTTGTCTCAAAATAAGTACATAAATAAGCAAGAGAAGGGACTGGGAATGTAGTTTGCTGTGAAGGCCCTGGATTCAATCCCCATTATCATGGGGGAGGGGGTGGAAAGAGATTAGATAATAAAAGTGTTGCCACTGTCCAAACAATGGGTGAAAATAAGAAAACTGAAACACTCTGTTTGGATGACCCAAGGCTCGTCCACAGGCCTAGCGCTCCCTGTCCCCACCCCGCCATTGCTTCCCCACCCCAGAATTAAATGGTTTGGTGAAATGCTCAAGGCTGGATTTCTGACCTCACCCCCTCAGTTCCGTTTCAACCCCTCCATCCAAATGGCTCCAGGGGTTCTGACATTCTTCCGATGAGCAAATCCGAGTGCATGGCTCAGACCACGCTTGGACAGCCAGGCCTTCTGCTTCAAACAAACACTGGCCACTGATAGCAAGGACTGCATGACAAAGGTGTGGCTGAAAGGGAATCTTCACTGCTACCTGGTGGCCCATAGCTAGGGACCAAAAAGTGGATGTGGGTGGACACAGTGACAAAGCTCATGAACTAAAAGGCCAATTTTCTCCCAACCCCAGCACAAATGCACCTGTGGGGGGACTGCAAGTAAGGACCCAGGGAGTCTGCGCCTGAGACAGTCCCAATGTAGCTCTGCTGTGACCTGAGTCCTGGGAAGAGATCCTGAGGCAGGTCCCATCCCTTGCACTGTTTTCCAAGAAAGCCAGGTAGGGGACAAGATTTGGGATATGTTCAATACCCAGGAGGGACGTGGGATTGCCACTTCACCCTGTGACACCACTGTACTAACTGTCCTACTCAGAGGCTAGTGCATCTGTCCCAGATCCTCACTGTCCTTTTCAAATGAGTCCAGCGATACCTAACCCTTGGGGATGGCTTTATCACCAATCCCAGGATTACAGGAGAATTTCCAAAGGCCACTTATACTGTTGAACTTCTGACATGAACTATTTCACAGATTAAATGTGATCCAAAATGTAATGTGTTCATCCTCACAATAGATATTATGAGTGAAGGGTAGAGTATGTGGTCGAAAAGGTACAATTTGAGAGCCAGAGCCGGGTTCTAATCTCAGTTCTGTCACTTCCATTCCATGAACATAATACATACTGAATTCTTGCTGTGTGCATGGTATTGCTCTAGTTGTTAGCAGAGGATGGTGAGGAGGACAGACGGCCTTGCTCTTCAGGGCACTTCCTGTGTGTGCTTATCTACTGAGCTACACGATGGGCCTATCACTTCACCTCATGGAGCTCCAGCTAAGGGTTTTGAGGGTTCCATGAGATAATTTAATGTACACCAGGCCCAGAATACGTGAGTGGCCTTCACGGAATGTCATTTCACTATGGCTCATAGAGGATTCCTGGTCACTATCTGTGAGGAATAAAAACACTAGCATATGCTGTGGGAATCTCCAAGGCCATCCTCCAGAGCTCTGAAGCCAGAAACCACTGAAGGAGAATGGTGCTCCTAGGGCCAGGGCCGCTATTTAAAAAAAAAAGCCCAGGGACTTAAGACACTGCTCCCACCATGTACTCTGTGACACAAAAGGAACCAGCAGCCGTCAGCTTCCACGTAAATCAGGAAGGCAGTTGGCACAGGAGGGGCTCCGGAGGTAGAGGCTGGTCCATGTTTCTTAATAGACATGAAATCATTTAATCCGAAGAAAATAATGATCAAATGTATTGATTGAGACAAAGTGGAGGAAGAGACCTCAAAGGAAGTCTGAAATTTATCTGTAGGAACTTCTGCTTTTAAGAAATCAATATATATCTGGCTCTAATTAGTTAAAGGATACACAAATTGACCAATCCTTCCCCTAACTTCCAACCCAACTGAGTCTCTGGGATGAACACAGACATGGAATTTCAGATTCCTTTTGCAGCCCAGGGACCTATTTTCCCTGCTCCGTGTGCAAACAGCCCACACAGCTATTTCACAGGTCAGCATGTACACTATTTAAAGCTGCATAAATCATGCCGGACAGGGTATTAATAAGTGCTAAGTTGCTATTTAGCAGCAGCTTACGACAGTACCTTCACTGTCATCGCTGTCCTTAGGTCCATCCAGCTTTCTGGGTCCATTCAGCATAGGTGGTGCACAGGGAGGTGGAACCAACAATTGCACTAACTTTTTTTCATACACTTTTCTGGTGGAAGCTGAGAAAGAACGTGGAGAACAAATTGTCCTATTTTTATATGTGATCCTATGGGATTCAGGGTATTTCATAACTCAGACTTTTTTTTTCAGTACTAGAGACTGAACCCAGAGCCCTTGCACTGAGCTACAGCTCCAACCCTATGTAGTATTCTGAGACAGGGTCTTACTAAGTCAGTTAGGCATCTAGGCTGGGCTCAAATTTGAAGTCCTTCAGCCTCAGTCTCCCAGAGTACTGGAATTATAGGTGTGTGCCATGCCTACTACCTATGACTTTTTATTTTATTTTATTTTATTTTTTTGTGGCCTGCTCAGCTGGCCCCGAGGGCAGGGCTGGCACAGCATGTGGTGGCGGGGTTCAAACTGGGGTCCCTGCGCTTACATAGGCTTGTCTAAGCAGGCGCTTTACACCACTGAGCTATCTCGCTGGCCCCTACCTATGACTTTTTAGATGAAGCAGACCTCACAGCCACTGAATTCACTTCTCTTCCACAAACAAGTGGATTAGCCACAATCTCGGGGATTGAAAATATTTTAGAACAAGATAGGCATCATTGTACACCCTGCAGTATGTTTTGGGAATATAGATAATAAACATACACACAGGTAAGTAGTTAATACAGAGTCCATACTAAAGGCAAAAGAAGCTAATATAATAAAGAGTAGTAGTTTCTTCACTATTAAAAATAAACAATCCCTTCTCTCTGCCACCATACTTATTAAACTGTAAGGATCTTCCCTCTGCATGTATGGTTTTCTATTTTCCCATTCACTGGGGGATAGTGTACTGGGGATTGAATGCAGGGCCCCACACATACGAGGTACTACGCACTGAGCTACATCCTCAGCCTCCCTATTTCTATTTTCACAGCTTTTATTGTATATGCTCCCCCTCCTAAGGATTGTATGTCTTTGGAGGTAGATTGTAAATGATAAAGGAGTAGTCCCCTACGTCTGTGTATACGTACGCAGTATGGGGCCAGGTGACAATCCAAGCTTCTTCAGTTGCTTCTGCAATTCCCCGTCACTAAGACAATGCACATCCACCATGGCGATGGAAGTCTGGCCTCTTTTCTAACAGTGGAATCCTGGAAATGGCAGAACACTGAATTCATTAAGACAGCCTTATGAATAAGTACTAAGACTTTACTCACTCACAAGAGGGTTTTCAAAGCCATCTCCCTACTCTTGGAGGAGCATGCTCACAAAGCATACTTCATCCCTTCTGCTGTCTTCCACCATCAAGCTCTTCGAGCATTAGTGCCCTCCATATGAAGGTTTGGGTGCTGTCACCTTACCCAGAGTTCGTTCTTCTCTACTCAGCTAATGTGAGCAAAATCTTCTGGACAAAATGAACAAATATTTCCATTACTGCTCAGGAACTCTATGTAAGACTGAGCTCCAGAAAGATAAGAAGTTAATTAAATATGAAAAAGCTGAGAGAGATCCTTTTTTAGTGAGTTAAATAAAAGTTATTTATCCCTGCCCTCCTTTTGATGACAGTACAGAGAGTACAGAGCATTCGGTTATTGCAAACAGTAGTAGTTTTCACACTTGCAATTTAACTCTGAGCATAACGAGATGGTAGTTTTTAATTAACCACCAGCAGACTTTGTAATTGCTGAATTGGCATTTGAAAAAAGTCAACTATTCATTCTCTGGCACACGAATTGATTTATATAGATTTATGCAAGTCTTGATCCAGCTTCCAAACCTCTGCAGCCTCCAGCCCAATCAGTTTTATCTCATTGATCTCTTGATCTCCCTAAAACCAAGCTCTCTACCCATCTAACAAAATTGTGAGAAAGACAGACCCATTTGTCAAGGCTTTTAACAGAGATTTTTAATTTAGGAGTTTACTTATTGTACCTCATTTCTATCACGTTTCAAGGCTTCCTAATACTGCAGTGAAAATGACCACAAGATAATTACTCAGCATAAGAGGATCTAGACCAATTTTAAGTAATGACTTTGCTTTTATTGGTGATCAATCAGTGTCCAATTAGGAAGAACACTGTATACAAGCTAGAAAAAGCCATGGCTTGTCTTATGTGGGTGTTCAAGGGCATCTAGCTAAACAGTTTCAGCTTTACAGCTCTGCTTATTTTTCTTGCACGTAGTAAGTACTTAGTAAATGCTAGTTTCTCCTTTCTAGGTGTTTGGGAAGCTGATTTAACACTTCTAGTCAACTAAGAAAAAAACCTAATCCTAGAAAGAAAAGGGGAACTGTACCTCAGCACCTCAGATGTTTTTTCTTTGCTGGTGGCTAGCTTTGGCAAATCCTGTGACATTTGTTCCTGAGAACAGCTGTCTGTTGTTTCCCCAGCTTCCCAAAAATAACCTCCAAAAGAACCCTCATCAATTTCAAGTGACACTAGACAATTGCCTAGAGGGTACACGCATATGGAAGAAAAATATTCAAATGAAATCCAACTGGATGATTAATCCACTTACCCCTTCACATGGTTATCTAAAGTCTATGCAATTGGGCTGGCTACTGAAGCCGGGTGAGTTGCACCCACAGATCTCCACTAGCAACCAAGCCCTCCTTGCTTGTTAGATATTATGGTAATCATAATACCGGCAGTGTGACATCAGTAACCCCCATAGCAACAGATTGATGTGACAATCAGATGATTAATTTAAACTAAGTTCAAACAGAAGGAAGCACTGGTCGACTTCATAGGCAGATTGCCATGAGAAAATGTCAAGAGAGGCAGGGACGTTATCATTAGGCACAGGAAGTAGGAGCTGCTACCACGCCAAGTGGTAATGGTGCCAATAAATTAGTAGGAAAAAGGAGAAGTCAAACAAACTCCAGAGTCTAGGCTAGCATAAAGGGACCCACAGTCCTAGATGGGTGATTTGGCCATGTGTTCTAGGGAAAACTGAAATGTGGAAGAAAACTCTATTAATTTGTTAAGGATTTCTTGCTAAAGAAAATAAGAATCAGGATGGAGTGCAGGTAACTGTTCACACACTGGAGAAGTCAGATGATTTGATCCTTTTCAAAGCACTTCATGTCTCTTTCAAGTCACTGGATGCTCCTGTAAGACAGCTGAGACAGATGCTGTCATCTCACTGCGATAGGTTTCTTCTTGTTGCCGCTTTATTTAGTTAAAGGAAAGATCCAGCAGAGTATTAGCTTGGGCATTTCCTGAAAGACTGCTGCAATTTTAAAAACAATTATGCAAGACAAAATGTAACTGCGAGAAAACACCATGCCAATGTGTTGATTAAACACCAAGGAGAGGAGGGAACCACGTGAAAGAGTTTAAGGGAACAGTGGCACCTGTTCTGACCTCAGCTCTGTCACTTACTGGCTGGGTGACAGGATCCAGGAAGTTACTAACCCCACTGTGTCTTGTTTCGTTCACCCATAATGGGGATGACAGCAGTACCAGGCATGCTACTGTCACAAAGGGCCAACGGATTATAACACACATAAAGGAAGCATTACATAAATGGTTTCAATTATTGTAACTAATCATGAGCCCTATCCTCGAGAAGTTTCAATATCTAGTCTCTTCTTTGGGAGGCTCCATCCCATTGACACTTCATTAAAGGACTTCAACCCTTTTAAGATCCTGGGAAAGAGCTCAGCATCTCTGGGTGGATGTCTAAGAAGGCTCCCAGGCTACCGCTCCAAAGTTACTGAATGGAGCATTCCAAACAAATGCGCAAAGCAGTGTTTACCAACACCCAAACATTGGATTCACCAAACAAAAACTTTGAAAATTGACACATTTGTTCCAATCAAAGCAAATAAATGATAGGCTTGGGTTATTAGGATGCACAAGCATTTTGTTTACATTTCCCAGAATTGCTTTCAACAGAAAAGCAACCAGCAGGTGGAACCGCTTCCATTTTAAACAGCAAGACTGCTGGGATGAAGTAGTCATTTTTCAAATATTTTCTTGCTCAGACCTCTGGGATTCAAAACAAGGCTCACTGAGAAAGAATTAAACACATGCTGGCAACCAACATCTGTGGGCCAAGCTCCCTAATATATGTAAACTATTCTGTCCGAAACTATTTTCTTAAAGATCTACCTTGTGTGTATCCATTATTCTATTATCAGCCTTATATCATTTAAGAATTCCTGTACTAAGAGCAATCCTGAAATATCTGACTTCAGAGTTTGTAGCATTTCTCTCAGTTTTATCTCTGTAGTTCTGGGCATTAGCCTGAGTTTGTTTTGTTTTGTTTTTTGGGTTTTTGTTTGTTTATTTGATTCTTATTCTCCTCAGAACCGCAAAGACATTTTATGCCATTTCTTGAGGGAAGTAAGTTTTAATTGCCAATTGACTAGGTATTCAACATGATAAGGTACCTAAATCCTGAGCGCTTCCTCCTTTCATTAAAATGTAGATCCAATTTCTCTTCCCTTAATGCCACATGCTGTTATTAAACCAAAATAACGGAAATAGCAAAAGCCAGATGTCACTTCAGTCTCAGGTTTGATGTGGGGCACAATTTCCTCTCCTAAAGTTTAATCTACCAGTTATTTAGTAACCCCATCCTTCTGAAGAATGAACAATTTAAATGTAAATGCAATTTACATAGAGGAGCAGGTAGTAGATTTGCAGTTTCAATTGCCAATAACCATTTGCAAAGGGGGAAATCAACTAAAGCAAAGATCAGCAGCTGTCAGTCTGAAGTTTTCATCATTCACCATTCTTAGATAACCTCCTCCCAAAGCCACCTGCCTCTGAGGCTCAGTTACTAAAGCAAAAGGAAGCGGAACACAATCATTTCCCCAGATATTTCAAGCTGAACTTAATACTGACTTGGGGGAAGGGAGGCAGATCTGGGTTTCTAATATTCTTTTTTTTTAATTTATTTTTTATTTATATATATTTTTGTGTGTGTGTGTGTGTGTGTGTGTGTGTGGCCAGCTCAGCCCACCAGGGGGCGGGGCTGGCTGGCATGTGGTGCTGGGGGATTGAACCGTGGTCCCTGTGCTTTGCAAAGCTTGTTCTAAGTAGGTGCTTTAGACCACTGAGCCATCTCACCAGCCCTCTAATATTCTTGATCTAAACCTGTTGTAATCACTGCTGAAATTGTTAGCTGACCAGTTCACCGCAACAAGTACTTATTCATCAGCTCCTAGCGGATAGGCATTGTGCTTGACCTAAAACAGGGAAAAATAGCAGAGAATAAAAGATGCAAAAGCCTCAGACTTTGTGTGTGTGTGTGTGTGTGTGTGTGTGTGTGTGGTACTGGGTATTGAACTCAGGACCCTGTGCTTGCCAAGCAGGCACTTATTCTACTGAGCTATCTCCCCAGCCCAGCTATAGACTTTAAAGAAGCTCATTGTTCTGTTAAGAGAAAAAAAAAATGATTAGAAGAAAATAAAGGGGCTGGTGAGATGGCTCAGTGGTCTAAAGCACCTACTTAGAACAAGCTTAGCAAAGCACAGGGACCACGGTTCAATGCCCAGCACCACATGCCAGCCAGCCCCGTCGCCTGGTGGGCTGAGCTGGCCACACACACACAAACATAAATAAATAAATTAATTAATTAAAAAAGAAAATAAAGTGTCAGCAGAGAAGCCCCAAATCAGGGTCCCTAAAGAGTCAAAGGTTTCAATAAGATTGAGACTTCAGCATGGTCAACAGTGTGTCATAAAACCAGGGGTTGGATGTAGACAGCTGTGGAGTGTGAGAAGCCAGGAGAGACATGAGCCAGGCTGCAGAGGCGGGGCCAATTTGTGAGACATCTTAAGGAGCATGCTAAGGAGCTTGGACACGCTTGGAAGTTTTTCATCTGGAGGCAGACCTTTAGTGGGACTAAGTAGAGAATGGCTCAGAGGGCAGAGGTGGCTACAGGACTACTAGGTTATCACAGCAGTGCAGAGAAGTGCTGATTCGGCCTGTGGGGGGAGGAGAGAGGAAGACGCAGGATTCATGAATGATTGAGGAGGCAGGAGAGCCAGAGCAGGGCATCTGGTTGGTGTTTCCTCTTCAATTCACTTGCATAGACACCACCTCAATACAGATCCTTTGTCTCAGCCGCGAGCCTGCTTACATAAGGAGCCATATGGAGTTTGGCCTACACAGCACTGACACTTTAAAAATTAGTCTGGGCTGTTCTCTCAACTCTTGATTACCCCATGACTTGAAGGCAGCAGCAACGCAGATAATCCATAACTCGCTTCTCCTTGGCTTTAGGATTAATTACACCTTTTAGAGCAAATTTGCCTTCCTAATTAATCTTTCTCAGACTGATATTAAAATTAACTAACACTCGCTCACCCCCCCCCACCCAGTTGGGCAGGGGAAGGGGAATAGGGCAAGCTGAGCACGGGGGAAGCTAACGGAAGTGAAATTCACTTTGGACTGACTGCGGAGGCAGAGCGGGGCTTGGCTCTGCTGCAAATACTAGGCTCCAGCTCTTCAGGACCGGACCCCTGAGCACCAGCTATGTGCCAGCCACCCAGCTACGACTGAAGATGAGAGCCGAAGCTCCCACTGCTGGCTTCAACGCGGTGCCATGCATGTTCCACTAGAAGCATTGTCCCTGGAAGAGAATAAGCATGAACAAGGTTAATGGAGAAAACAGCCTCCATTTGTATCTCTCACTCACTGCCTCTGTCATCCCAAGCCTTGGCTTTCCCACCTATAAAACAAAAATAGGAATGATTATACTCTGGAGCCAGAGAGATAGCTCAAAGGCATAAGCACCTACCTGGCAAGCACAAGGATCAGAGTTCAATCCCTGGCCCCACAGGCCGTGTGATCTTGGCCCTGGATGCCCAGGCATGCCAATGCAGGCGCTGTGGTGTATACCTGTAATCCCAGCACTTGGGAGATTGAGCCAGGAGGATTTCTGTAAATTCAAGACCAGCTTGGAGGCTACAAAAGTGAGCACAAGGGGCCTGGGGAGATGGCTCAGTGGAATAAGTGCTTCCCTGGCAAGTACAAGGGCCTGAGTTCAATCCCCGGTTCCACCAGAAAAAAAAAGTGAGCACAAGACCTTCCTGAACTGCATAGTGAGACCCTGTCTGAAAAAAAAAAAAAAAGGAATAATTATATTCCTCATAGACTTATGGAAAACTGAATTAGAGCAGCTCAGGGGCTTAACTCACTGCATCCATTGTACATGGTAAGTGCTCGCAAGGATGGGCTGAGAGTGAGGCTCCAGAGGCACCTTGGGGGCAGGAGGGTACCCTGCTGGGATGCTTACTTCCATCATCATTTAGTTTTGTAGCCCACCCCTTACCTGGGAACCCAGGCAAATTCAAAGCAGCTCCTCTTCATTAACAGGCCAGGGACCTATTTTTTTCTCAAAGGCTATGTGAAGAGGACACGCCACAGGGATGGGTTTACAGCAGCAAGAGGAGAGCTCTCCCACTCAGAGCACTCTCTTTTAATGAGAGATGAAACAACCCAAATGACAAGGTGTGGGGGACATCGCTTCCATCCTTTTGAAACCAGGAAAAACAACACTTAAAGGACACTCCATACCACAGAAAATTGGAAAACAGCCACAGACAAATAATAAAAGTAGAAGCAAAAGAAGGTTGAAAAGGTTGCACCATCAAG